TTGGCTGTTAGGTTTTGTGATTCGACTGTTGATCGGTTTTGCTTGTTCTCCGATTTTTAGCTTTTTGGAATGCCTGTTGGTTTGATTCGTGATCTGCGAGTTGAATTAGGAGGTTGCAGTTTTTCGGGGGTGGGAAACTGGAATGTTCACGGTTGATCATGATCATGATAATGATCATACCGGTCTTTTAGGGGATTTCACCTTTTTCCCCTTTTTTCGGCTTTAGCTGAAAACGCGCATGAAAAACAATTCTTCTGTGACTGAAAATGGGTATCCTTCTAATTGCTAAAGTCGCATCCTTATCTTCAGCTTTCAATAGTTAATGTCATTGCTAAACAAGTTTTTAAACAAGTTTTTAAACAAGTTTTTAAACAAGCTTTATAGTCTAGTGAGGATCCATTGCGACATTAATTAGGTAAATTGGAAGTAGATATGGAGAGCGCATTCATCACATATATATATGAGGAGGATCTAGTATCGTGTCTAAGAAAATAAAAGGTTGAAAAAAATTGATTAGAGGATCCATTATTATATGTTTCAGAAAAGAGAGATTGAGAGAATGAAACTAGGTTAATGTATTATGTTGATGCTATGCTATGACATAAATGATGTATGTTGCATCAATTTGGGGATGCTAGGATGAGACTGATATTGGTTTGGCTTATTTCACACACACTAGGTTAGAGCTTCATAATTTTCACCGGAAACTCTCCACAACGCTTTAAAGTACCTTTTGTCACATTTGTAAATGCCTCTTCCAGTTGTACAATTCCTCTCAATAAAAACTTAGCATTGAACATCTATTCGTTTTTCGTGTCTTATTACATCGAACGGAGAAAATTTGCAGAGTGCATTACCAGGAGCATTGCCGTACAATTCTTTTACTTAAAATAGTTTTAGCTTCACAAAGGATATTTCATGTTACCTGCTATGATTCATATCTAATGTTTCATATTCTTCATCTCTTTTTGCCTATGTTTCAACTACTTTGCACCTTTTGCTTAGATTTCAGCTACATTGAATTTCTTTGTGGGCTCTCTTCCAATTCCCTGAATTTTAGCCGAACCACCCTTTCTCACTGCCTAAATATTACATTAGATCAAATGAAATCATATCAGCTAGGTCTTCATTATTGTTCTAACTTCTAAGCAATAATCCACATTAAGAATTTGGCACGATTCATTTAAATGATGTACTTATTACTAAATTATTAATGCTGATAAATGAAACACAAACTTAGATTGAGAAATCCACATGTAGTACCAAGTTTGAGAGACTTGGTCTGAATAGTTTTGTGGTGATTTCATTTGATTTAGCAGAAGGTAAATATAACTAACTGAACACGAGTTTATGATCTAATTATATACTTACTGAGATGATAGAACCTCCATTATTTATTGTTGAACGTGGTAAGAGAATTGGAGTGTCATGTAGCATCACTTCTGTGATGTGATAAGAATTCTGTTGTAAAAAAAAAAAAGGAGTTAAGTGACATATCATTTTCAGGACTAAGTGCATAACATGGTGACAGTGGTTGAGTATGCTGCATGTGCAAAAGTGCCTGTTTAGAGATGTAACTTTATTCTTTAACTGACTTGATTTTCTATTCGAGGAAAAAGAAAAAGGACCTACCTAATTATGTCTGAGTTTATCCTTCTAAGTCGCCTTTTGATTTATTATTCAATATTTACATTCCTTACAATTCGGTGCCTTATGATTTCCGGATTTTGACACAGCTGTATAGACTGCAAAACCATTTCCATTTTGAGCTTTCATCTGAAAAAGAATGCAATCTAAGAATGTTTGATCATCACATACTTGGTATTTAGTGGGTTGCTGATTGTTGGTTAAGATTTGTTTACAACATGATCCATTTAGGAAATTAGAAAATGCAACTGATAGATGGCATCTGATAACTTGCAGCTTTAAAACAATTAAAAACTTGATACTTCTGTGATTGAAAGAATAAAAGTTGCCCTTTTCAATTTCCTATTACTTTTGTAAATTTGTGTAGACTGGTGAGCAGTTTGATAGACATAGATCATATTATATAAAGTATATATGAAAGTTGCATTACAGAAGATCTGTTTAAATACAATTCTACTTAATTTCCAGAATATGATTTGCAACAGATAGAAATGTTTTGTCTAGGAAATTTTCTTTCGACATGTTGGAATTAGTATAATTTGGAGCAAATTCTTATAAGAAGCATTTTGTTTTTAATGATGATGATAGATGTTGCATCTCTATAAGCGGAGGGATTGATGACACTTTTCTGGGGGTTAATATTACACTCTTGGATGCAATAGGATAGTAATGATTTTTAATATCAACATTCTTATTAGATTCAATGATCTCACGATGATCAAATATGGTGGCGATTTTCATTTTGGCTTTTCTTTAGATGAACAATGTGGAAAGTAGCTGTCTATTCTGAATGGGGCCCTACCCCAATGGAATAAACCTAGTGGGGGAAAAAACAAAAAACAAAAAATGGAAAACTGAAAGAAGATGTTTCTTTTGGTGATAGAAGATGTCTGTAAAGAATTTTCAATATCCTTATGTTTCTGGCTAATGATAATGTTTAGTTTTTCTCTTACAATTAATCCAGTTGATAATTGCAAGTCAGAGCTCAACTGAGCATGCGAGAAAAACATAGATTCTCTTTTAATGTACTAACTCTCTATTGAAATAACTTCTAATTTTGAAAAACCTTTGACCCTGGATTGATCAAAAAGTTCCTACAAGAATGAGAGGAATTTTGATTGGCAGTTTTCCAGTGCACTGTGCTGATTCGGCAGAATTATCTCTGTGTTCATTAGGAATATTCTACACCATAAAATTTTGATGTGTTGAATGCTTGTTATTTATATGGTTAGAACCTATTGCAGAAACAAATATATTTAAATATATGTATATTCATAATTAATGCATCTATTTTTTCCTGATTTATTCATAATTGCTACATCAGGAGCCACCACCCATTCAAGTTATATATCTTGACAAAAACGTCAAGATCATTAGCATTTTCCTCGAGTATTCACTGCATTTTTTTTTTCCATTTGCAGTTCCTAGGAATTTCAGATTGCTGGAAGAGCTTGAGAGAGGTGAAAAAGGAATTGGGGATGGAACTGTTAGTTACGGAATGGATGATGCTGATGATATATTTATGCAGTCATGGACTGGAACTATTATTGGTCCCCCTAACGTAGGTTCTAAAATTTTGTCATTTTCTTTTTCCTGGTTTTCTTATGTTATTTTGTATTTTAGTTGCCTTTCTCCTGATGTTGTTTATCCAATGATGGTTCAGGGTCATTTTAATTTAGTTTATTTTTAGATTTGCATATCAAGACTTTGACAGTTCCCACTATCTTGTTCTCATCAACTGTTTTTAAAAGTTAGTTTTAGCTATGTGACTGGTGTTCCCACCATCTTGTTCTCATCAACTCTTCTTAAAAGTTAGTTTTAGCTATGTGACTGGTGTTTTTTAGGGCTATTAGATTCTTCTTTATGCCCAGTATACCAGCATGATTTCCTTTGTCTTGCAATTAGTTTATCTTGTTCAAAAACAGAAAGGCACATAGCTAGTATGACATGGGCTGATTCTATTTTTTGAAGCAAGTTTCCTGCAAACGAGAAATTATGTATGTACTAGAAGCAAAGTACAATAGAAATCTTGATGGACTAGTTGAGATTAAAAATGCTTGCTCAAGCTGGATTGAATAGGAAGAAGACGAAACTTATCTAGGGACAGTTACAAAAACCCTCTCGTGTAGGTTACTTGTTTAGAAAATCCACCTCTCATTAGGAATCTACAACCTAGTCCTTCAAATTTAAGTTATTGTTTAAACGTTACCCCCTGAGCCTTGTTAGAGGAAATGTAATAACAAAAGGACATTTATGTCCTTCATAAGTTAAATATTCTCGTTTTATTAATGTTGAAACTCAGAGTATGAGCTCTTTTCCTCACACATAAACACACGAGTTGTGTTTTATGATTTAAAATAGCCAATGAATAAATCATTTTTGGAGGGGACAATTTATGATTTAAAAAAGTCAAGAAGAATGAAAATGAAATCAAATCCCTACGACCATACTTAATTGGAAGCTTTTTCCATAAATTCGAAAATCATTGCAATTTTCACTCCCACATTTATCAATCAGGCTTTAAAGCGGGTTTTTTCGGGTTTGGATAAGACATAAAAGCAGAGATAATGAAGTGAACTGTTAGGAAGTACGTGTTTAATAGTAGTTGTGGCTTTTTTTGTATAAAACAAATTATCGCCTTGATCGTTGACTACTAAAAGGAGCAAAGACTGAAACCAAAATATGAAATCTGAAGAACTACGCTGTCATGTCCCAGAATGTGAGGTGGATTTTTTAAACTAAGTTGAACTATAAGGGAGGATTTTGTAATTGTCACGCCTATAGATATTTGAAACTAGAGTATGTTGCATGGGCGTCATGAAGACATTAGCATAACTTGACATGGCATCAACAAAAATGAGATCTCCAAAGATTCAGACAACTGCAGATATAGTTGGCATTTTCGTTCTTATGAAAAATAGTTGGGATTTACTGATAATTGTTAATATATCTCCGTGATACATTTAACTATCTCTGACTTTGTATTCTTACTGATATTCTGTAGATTTTTCTTTTTCTCCAAATGAAGTAGGAAATCCAATTTTCACGATTTTGTGCATTTAAAACCGTAGGTAGACCAAAGCAGACTGACTGGTTGAACATGAACTGTGTTTATGGCTTTATAGTTTTCGCTTCTGACTTTGATATGGTATTTTATTTCTTGTGCCACTACTGTACCTTTAACATCATCCTTGGAGGAGAAAAACTGATTGTTTTTCTATCATGTTTCATACTAGACTGTGCACGAAGGGAGAATCTACCAGTTGAAACTGTTCTGTGGAAAGGATTACCCAGATAATCCACCAACAGTAAGGTTCCAAACGCGGATAAACATGACCTGTGTTAATCAGGAAACTGGGATGGTAAGTGCTATTTGTTAGGTGTATGTTGCAATGATTTGTTTAAATTAAAGCTCATGGATGGACAAATTTCCAGGTTGAACCAAGTCTATTCCCCATGCTTGCTAATTGGCAAAGGGAATACACAATGGAGGACATATTGACACAATTGAAGAAAGAGATGATGTCCCCACAAAACCGAAAGCTAGCTCAACCACCTGAAGGTTTGTTTTAATTTGTCTTATTTCATTCCATCTACACCCGTTTTTGTTGACATGCTTTAGTTTATAAGTATATATCTTACGTCTTTTTGAAATCACTAGTTGTATGGTATAGATAACATAGCCCGCGTTTGGTTCGCTGGTTTGAATTTTGTTGATTTGAACCTTTTGATTTGAACAGAAAAAATTCAAACTATGTGGTTTAAATTGTAGTTTGAATTGACGTTTGGATGTGCAGTTAAAGTTTTAATTTGAACAGGGAATAAAATTCGAATTTGTGTTTAGTAGGTGTGAAAAGCAAAGAGAGTGGGTATCTTTTTATTGTTCAAAAATGGTTTGAACGGTTGAACTTGAGGGGGGAGTTAAACTTTAAGTTGGATTGTTTAACTCAGTTCAAATGGGAAATATAATTCAAACTACACGCTTACTAAACACCAGTTCAAACTGTGCTCACTGTTCAAACTGAGTTGAACTAAACTAAACTAGTGAAACAAACGGAGGCATAGTTGTCTTAGGCAGCTTGTTATCTCTGACATCAATAGTTTATGGCGCGATAAAAGAGATTGCCATTGTGGCTTTTAGGATTTTGCTTGCTTTATACTTAACCAAATAAATAGGCGAGATGGTAACGAAATGATTAACAGACATGGTATATTGGACTGCTTAAATTAAGTTGTAAAATATGAATTTTAAGCAATTCTATCTCATTGTGGACTTGTAATACTCTGAAATCATTCTTCAAAGAAATAACTGCTACTTGGATCGTGGAAAATATATGTAAGAATGCTTATCCATCATTCCACAGTTGCTTGTTAACAAGAAGCCTGTGGGTTTAGTTGATTCTAGGTTGAGAGACTGATGAAAAAAATATCATTACCATTTTCTGAGCTTGTGCATTTCTTTTATCTTTTGACTTCTGAAAACTAGGAATGAAATGTAAAGTTTTGATTCATCAAGTTTTAATAAAAACGACCCCATATCTGTTGATTGATCGTTTTTGCTACTTTTTTCTCCTGGTGAGTTTTCAGGTAATGATGAGGGAAGGATTGACCAAAAAGGGCTGGTGCTGAAATGCAGTATTATGTAAGGTGCTGAGTGGCTTATGCTGATACTGTATATAAATATATAACTGGATAAAACCAGTTCACGAGCAATTTATGTGCCAAAATGTCTTTAAAATGTAATTAAGGACAATTTGCATCCGGGTCCTTGAGCTGCTTGAGACATGTCATTCTCTAAATCTCGACTACGTTGTTCATCAAAATTTAGTTGTTTATTAATGCTTGTATCAGGAACCTTGATTTGCCAAATTTGAGACATGTTCTAGATGTTTAATGGAATGCTCTCTCTCTATGTTGTAAGATCATAAGGCGAGATCAGTTTCCGCAGAATTTGGCGATGACTCACATTGAGGAATCTGAATAGGTATGCTTGAGCCCTCTTCTATTTGTGGCATCTAAGACTAAAGTGTGTTTTGCGGGTAAACAAATTATAGTTATCAACATAATTATGAATACAGGACTAGTAGCACTACATAGTATGAAAAAAGAAATTACAAGTGAAAACTGACTTACATAGATAGCCGATAGCGTGGCTGACTTTTGCTGGAATGTGTTGTGAAAAGAAAAATACAACTAGCGTATGTTAATAAGCGCCGGTATTAAAATTATAATATGTTGAGTTTACCTTTAGAGTTTATAAGTTTTGATTTTCTCTTTATTTTTTATTAATCCTCTTTTGATTAATATAGTTATTTGACTATAAAAAATATGAATCAAGAATAAAAGATATAAATTCAGACGCATATATATACTCTAAACTAAAGGGTATTTGTCTTTTTTTTTCGTCAAGTATATATAATCAAATTATATCAGTCTATTATGGATAAAAGCTTTTATGAGATTGGGAAGATGGGCTTCCAGCAACTAATAGAAACTAGAAAAACTTGAGAAAAGTGTGTTTGTCCTTTTATAAACTAACTTGATATTATTTTGGTCATGTTCATTTCGCTGATTTAAGTTTAAAATTTAAGTTTTATTACAGTAAAAAATTTAAAAAAACAGTCACGTATAATTTTTTACTATAGTAAAAAGTTTTCACATAGAGTTATATTTTAACTCACATTTTAATTCGAATTAAAAATTTAAATTAGCAAATTAAACGTATCCTTTGTCTCCATACGTATCATCTACAGCCGTTATCTATCAGAGTTAAAACTCATTTCAAATGACGTTGAAGTTAGTTTGCCGACTGTGAGTTAATGAATGTTGCCTTTTTTTTTTTTTTTTTTGGTGGTAAAGAACGTTTTGATTGTAGTCGAAGCAAGGCAGGGTTGGTCCGTTTGGATTAAGACAAAACTAACAAATCAATTGTAGTTCGACTTTCACATGCCACCCAACCAGCCTTGTTTACATGTGGCTAATCCTGCAAGGGTGTGGTGGCTTGGGTTTGGAGCTTTTTGCACGCTTTGTTCGGTTAACAAATTTTTAGCCTTTTTTTTAAAACACCAAACAAATTTTAGCTTTCGCAACGCTCACGAGTGACAGGTGTCAAACAATTATTGAACTTGAAAAGTAAGAGCATTTCTCTATTAAAAAAAAGACAATTTTTGATGAATAATGTTAAGGACATGAAAAGGTTTTTTAATCTTATTTAGTCAGTATTACTTTTTTAACTGTTGAATTATTTTTTTAACGCCGCGTTACGTGTTTTAAATGTTTATATGGACATTCATAAATTTAACCGTTAAAAATTTAAATATCACTGCAATCAATCAAGGAAATACTTGATAATTTGAAGGACATTGAAACAAAATCGGCATAAAGCGTAAATTAGATCTCAGGCTAACCTAACAATCAGAATAAAACATGGCATTAGAGCCTTTAATTTCTCTTCTTAACTTCATCTCAAAATCCAAAAATTATTACCACCGGGGACTTTTTTTTTTATATTAAGTCAAAATTTCCTTGACAAATGAAGCTTGATTGTTCATCACGGACAATCTTCATGAGAAAATTGGGTTGTTGAGATTTGATCCTTTGCCCCAATAGACCGCCACTGCATGTTGAAGACGGTGGGATTTGTTGAGTCAGCATTGTATGTTCCAAATAGGCCATCCCTTGAATACAGATTGTGGTCACACACTTTTTTAAATTTATTACAATTTCTATTTTTTTCGTATCCCACTCGTCATCCGATAACATGCAGATATATATATATATATATACACACACATATACATATATCTTCAAAAAAAACTTGCTGTGTCTGCTATATACATTAATGTTGATAACGGAAAATGTGAACAAATATATTTAGGCCTCGTTCGTTTTGTGGATTCAAATTTTCAATTTGAGTTGAGATGCGACATTTTTTAAAAACTTTTAATTATAGCAGAAAAAGTTAAATGACACACTTTCTGAGAGCTTTTAACTGTGAAAACTTAGGCCTCGGTTATTTCACCGATTCAAGTTTTCAATTTTAGGTTTTTACAGTTAAAAGCTCTCACAAAATGTACATATAACTTTTTCTACTACAGTTAAAAACTCTTAAAAAATGTAACATCTCAGTTCGAATTGAAAACTCAAATCCGCAAAGCGAACAAGACCTTAGAACTGAAAACTCGAATCAGTGAAATGAACGAGACCATAGCCCATTGTTTCGTACCCTAGCTAAGAGCCTATCTTTAGCCCATAAAAAGTCTTTAAGATTGGATTGTTACAATCACCGACTACGCTGACACAACTTGTTTAATTGGACGAATTTGTTCACCTCCCATATGTTTTAATTAGGAGTGTTCAAAAAAATCAAAAAATTGAAACCGACTGACACCATACTGCCAAACCGATCGAAACAAATTGAGAATTCAGTTCCACGTCAGCAAACCAACTAATTCGGTCGGTTAACTGACCACCCATGGTTCATGGGAGGTTTGATTTTGATTTTGCCAACCGAAGTGATCGGTTAAACCAAACCAACCTACCAATTTAAAAAGAAAAAGTTATTATCCATATATTTGAACCTCTAATCTTGTAGATGATGAATATAAGTCCATCATATTATTGAATATTCTCATCTCTTTTCAATGTGGGACTATTAAAAGTCTAATGTGTTTGAAAATTTAAGCACATCAGACTTTTGAAAGTCCTGCATTGAAAAGAGATGAAAATGTATTCCCTCAACTATTCTATATAAAGGGCTATGTATTTCATTTTTCCATCACAACTTACAAGTTATGATGGACTTCAATATAAATAAATTTTCAAATTGAGATTAGATGTAAAGTCTTAGTCCTTAAGGATACATTCTTTTAGGCTTTATTTTTTTTGTCTTTTAAGCTATTTTTCTTTTTAATTTTAACTATTTAAATATTAAATATTTGAATGGTTAAAATTTAAAGAGAAAACAGTTCACAAATTTTTTTTAAGTAAGAAACCGATCGAAATTGTCAGTTAAAAACCGATGAATACTCCTAGTTTTAATTGCGTCACTGGTTTGCGTAACGGATTCCTCTTTTTTTTTTTTTTTTTAAGGTTTCCTTGTGAGTAAAGTTTTTATTTTTTATTTATTTTATTTATTTTTTTGGTTGCTGGGGAAGAATCCTTGTGACTAGACTAATGTTGGATAGACATCCGAACTTCTCTTTCAAAATACAACAAACAAGTAATGTCTTTTACAACCTAGATTGAGTGCTACTATCTGGGTCTTGATCATTCAAGAGCACGAAATTAGACGAAAGAGATCAGCCCCATGGATAAAAGTTGGGACCACTTTGTTCGTGTCTTTACGAATTCTAAAATAATTAATAACATTACATTGTTATATATGTTGGATTGTATATGTGGGGACCTTCAATTCATTACGTTAGATATAAAAATACGTAATACTCGAAAGATATTGAATTGTTGGTGATCAGATTTTATTAGATGTAAGTAATGTATGATGTAACACTATTGCCAGTCTTGATAAATATGAAATAATATTGTGATTTTTTTTTTTTGCTGATAGAAATATTATTGTGATTGTTCCCTTAGAAATCCTGTTGTTTTATCTTCTAAATCTTTTTTGAAGGGTGAAATTTTATCTTTAATACAATATTATAATTGACATATTAATTGTAAATTTAACATTTGAATTAAAAAATTTCTCCAATGTAATGTTATTTATTGTGTTAAATTTTTCATATATTATATTTTGTGGTAAATTTCCTACCAAATATGACATATAAGAAATTTAACATTTAATTGCTATTGGTTGAAATATTTACTTTTTCATATCATCATTATAACTTTTATATTTTTTAATTATTTTAAAAATAAAAATTTACTTTTACAACTTTCAAAACTTAATAATTATGATAAAAAAAATAGATTTAACATTTCAATAGCATTATGCATGAGAGTAAAAATAAAAATAACATATCATATCAC